TGATCCAAAATAGTAAAACCATATTACCTTGTCAGAACTTAATGATCGTGAATTTGTCAAAATGAAAAAGCATTTGGGCTTTTGACTGAACATCTCAACAAGTGATTCAATTGTCCTGAAAAAAAAAATAAAATAAAATAAAATACACTATTGATACACAGATGAAGCTTTTTTTTTTTTTTTTTTTTNNNNTTTTTCCAAAACGATAGATATTATTATAAATCAAAATGCACAATTGTGTGAATACACAACAGCCAACGGCTAAATACACAACAGCCAACAGCTGAAAAAGTAGGAGGACAGGTCAGAAGACCGGCTAGAATCCCGGCTAGCAACGCTAGAATAAAAAACACTCGCAACTGAACTAACCAACAACACAAACAACACTCCAGGTCTTATTATGCACTAAGAGAAACTGCTTTGTATAGATAGTTATTTCCTTTTATTCATTACATGACTAAATCAAATACATTTTCATGGCTCAGTTCTGGATGGAGTTCGGATGTATGGTGCGTGTTATGAAAATGATTGATATTGAAAAACATAGAATGATCCCTGCACATGCAGCACCAAAGCAGCGGTCTAGATACGAACAAAAAACTCTCGATTTCAATTCAACCTCTTCTTGTTTGTTGATATTTATTTACCTCTGGCATTTAAAAACAAAATATATATTTGCCACATGAACCTCCAAATCACCATTTCCCTATTTTTTTAATTCCAAACATCTAAAGTCTAATACATCTTCAGGTCACGGCATGTTCCTGAAGCGAACCGAAAACCGCACAAGGGCATGCATATATTCTGACTCTACCAATATCATGGGCGAGACGAGTTGGCCAAGCGAGCGAGCTTGTCCAACATGGACACCTCAGAATCTCGCCAAGCGAGCGAGCTTGTCCAACATGGACACCTCAGAACCATGTCGTCAACTTTAGAAGTTTACAAGAGTGCTCTGATTCATGTAGAATATTGTGGATGCATGGGGAACATTTCGGGAGTGTCTGAGGCGCCTAATGCATGGAGAGTATTTAGAAAACATAAAGTATTCCTGGGTGATTGTGGAACGATCCAGAATAGTGGGGAACATTTTGGAACCATGAAAGCATTTCAAAGATGAGGAGTCCCAAGAAAATCTAGACTCCCTGGAAGCAGCATGCAGGGCATCCCAAAATATTGTGTTCCGAAAGCTTGTAGAGCATCTAAAAAAATAAGATGGTCTATGTTCATGAAAAGCTTAAAGGACATGGAAGAATACTCTAGAGACTCAAAGAGTTCGTGGTCATGTGTAGAGTTCTTCAGGAAAATTTTGTAGGAATATGTAGTGAGTTATAGAAATATCTAATAAAAATGGGAGATGTTGAGGAAATGTAACTTGTAGAAGCATGTAGGCGTTGTAGAAAGTTTTTAAAATGTAGAGAACTAGGAGTGTGTAAAAGGAGGAGATGGAGTTTCCTCAAGATAAGTATAAATAGATGTTTAGTGGATCATAAATAGTAATCCAAGTAAGCGAGTGTTAGAAGCATAAAATGAAATTTTATCGTGGAATACAAGTATAAAAATATGTTTACTGGCTCATTAATGACAACAATTAAGTAAGCCGAGCACCACTACAGTATAAGACGGATTCAGTAATTATATTTATTTTTTCGAATACTTGGAGAGGTTGAATAGTATTAGAAGGGGTAAAAAAGAACCAAAAATAATAGAAACTAGGAAAATTAATTTTATTTATAAAATAACAAAAACTAAATGCTACTCATACATGTTTTCAAAATCTTCAACACGAGCATGTTTCGATACGATATCCAGAATTTTAGATTTTACTATAAAATTATAGCATATAATCTCTTATGAAAAGTAAACTTGCAGCGTACATTTATAGGTTGAAATTATTGGTGAAATAATTATATTTTCTTCATAGTTTGATATATGATGAAGTCCTACAAGAATAAGTTGTTATTTCCAAAGTGCTCTGATCCCATCTATCACTTCGAGTCTCATTGAAATTACTTGTTTTTCTCTAGCGATTTAAAATTTTTATAGTTTTGTGATGCTATTAGTTCTAAATTTATTGACATCAAACTCTAACTTTTTACGATGACTAGTATTTCTTATTTTCCACCACCAAATTTTTATTTGTTCACTTGAGAATTGTGCGCATTATTTACACGTAATAATGCCCAATATAGGCAGCAAGTTGACTTACCACTCTGTCAATACGAAGATGTCATGAACTGTTTGAGTCCCAGTTGGATCGTCATCCAAAACAACCAAAGTTTTTGAACTTTTCTGGTTAAGGTCAATAATATCCTTGATTGGATCTGTTGCCCACTCTGGTGGAAGAGAGCTTAGGACAAAATCTTTACTCAAAGCATGGGCCTTCCCTTCAACTTTGATTCCTGTAAGTGTTTCATAAACCTGCAGAATTCTAGTAGTTAAAGAGAAAAGATGCATAAACATAATGGGATGTGCTTTTCTACTTGCTTTACCATTTAATTAGATCAACTAAATAAATTAGCATACTAACCCTGAAGGCCTTAACTAAATCCAAGATATATGACGTTTTGAGTAACATTAGAAGTTCAAACCTTTACTACTGCAGCATCATCTATTCGGCCCCATCCAGCAGCTGAACCTGCAGCATAAGAAATTTCGACTTGTAATTAGTTCATGAACCCATTTCCACAATTTCTTCCCATAATCACTAAGCAGACATAGGCAACATTTCCAAAAGGAGAACAGATTTGGGGGACTGTAACTTAGGCTGAAAAGATACATAAAGTAACACATCGCAGGATCAGATAACATTAGTCTAGTTCAAAGATAGAGAAAGGAAAATGTTACCGGTGATAGTTAACACCTGTGTAAGTAATATGATAAAATAAATAAATATAATAATTGTAAAAACATATGACAGCTAGTCATTAGTGTGTTATCATAGTGTCTAAAACTATTATAAGTCTGCTAGGAGCCATTGGTTCTAGCAATTGACTTTTGCTAATTCATGCAGGAAGTTTTTAGTTTTATATTTAATGCTCAATTAGGTAGAACTTACATAGATTGTGGAGTCATTAATTTTTTCAAATTGGTTTCATGCTACTAAAAAGAGTTTTATTCACATGTTAAAATTGTGAAAACTAACTTCACAAATGCAACACTTAAGTTCAAATAATCGTCACATGGATTTTTCATGAATGCCCCCATGTATCTCCTTTTCATTCCTTAGATTTAAGGACATTGGCCTAAAAGATGAGCTCCTCTACCCACCAGACAAGAATAGCTGATGTGCAACGTTTGCCACGTGAAGTGGTACCCTACGAGAGAAGCATTCACGAGAGACAATTCCCTGTAAAAGAATTATGATCATATAAAACAAGCCCCTTGAACTGTAAACAATCCAAAAACATACACTCGAGAGGAAAAATGGAACAGCTTGCTTTGGCACACATGAATCTTACCAAATCCTTCACAAAGATATCAAGTGCTGATAGTGGTGTATAATCATTCTCTACCATGTGAGGACCACGATTCTCAAACATCCTGCATCAGGAAAACCCTTGCATATTACTTCAATAGACAATTGTTTCTGCCATATCTCATGATGTAATTTGAAATGAATGACCTCAAATGTAAATCAACTTTTTTTCTTTAAGAAGCAACATATTATTTCTGCTGTGCTTCTCTAAGGAGTAAAAATATACCCAGCACAAACTTACAGCTGTATATTTCTAGTCACATAAAACGAGATACTGTAATCATTTGAACTTCGACAAGATTAGGTGGGGTTAATTTTGAATTCTGTAATAATGTGGGATTTGTATGCAAGCAAGTGGTAGCACATAGAAATTTTCTAAACTTCTGTCCAAAAGCTTTACACAATGAATACACCATTTAAAGATGAAGAATAATTTAACATGAGTTCTACCTGCTCTACGACAAGTTGCTTAAGGATAAAAAAGTCACAGAGTTGGTCAATGGAAAACGAGACTCAGAAAACATAAAAGAATTAGTGGACGTATTCACATATCACAATCATCCCCGATGGAAAGAAAAAATGGCTGCTTTCTAAAATGCATCAGACCTACCATGATGTTCCACCGCTGTATGCGATTACATCAAACAACATTTTTGTATTGAGACCCAAACGTGCTCCAAATGCCATCGCCTCTGCTGCTGATGCAATATGAACCCCAGCAAGCAGTTGATTGATCATTTTTACACAACTACAAAACAGCACCAGAAATACATTGGAATATGAAGATGATGTGAATCAAACGTAAAGTGGCTGGGAAGTGAGAAGTACCCTGAAACTACAATTACCACATACACAAGGGAATCAAAGAAAATGTCCATATATAAGCAACATCTAGCAGAAATTTCAATAATTTATTCAAAGAAGGCTGGAAAACAAGATACCAGCTTGTACCTGCCAGCACCACAACCTCCATTTATAATATAAAGCTTCTCACTCAACGCTGCACCAAAAATGATCAGGACAATTTCAGTTTTAAAACGAATATTCCAAGCTCAAAGAGTCTATAATTTTCTTCTCTCCATCAAGCCCTTTATTTGAACCTGAAAGAACTGAACCAGCATGCTCCAGAGCTTCATCTGCACCCGACGCCATTATCTGCAATAAAAAGTAATAGTTAAGTCAGCCATTTGATGAATATGAACAGTTCCCAGTATATCAGTAAGCATTGAAGTAAGTTTTTCCTTGGGATTCAGGATATAAATAAGAACCAACACTCATACAGTAAGTGTTCCATCAGCCGCTCTTTTAACACCACCAGAGACAGGAGCATCCACCAACTTCAAGTCCTTCTGTGCAGCTGAAAAAAGGTAGAAGCTGTCACTATAATGTATATATTCCAACATAGAAAATAAAACATAATGCTATACAAGAGAATGGAGGCAGCCGTGCTTGGTTGGGCTAAACCCGAATATGCAGTATAATACTCACTTTGACCCTGGTCGTTTCAAATTATTTGAGACATAAATTAAAAAATTACAAATTGATTTAAAATCACATCACATGATTAGAGAGTTCAGTTTTTGCTGATCGTGAGAAAGCACTGCACCAGTTCTTCCAAGCAATAGCCCCATTCTTTTCTAATTTATTGTAAACTCTCCACCTCTATCATTACACCACTTTCTTATGAAAAAGTTGATGGGAGTAGTGTTAATGTGGCCGCTACTCCCAGCCCTAGTAGAGGGAATGGATTTAAGAGAAGAGATCAGAACAACTAGTGAAAAATGGGGATGAATCATTAATAATATTGTAGGGGTTTGAACAAAAACTAAATTAAACTTTTTGGGCCATTCATTTTCATCCATAAAGCTATCATACAATTCTGGTGCGCTAATTTTGCCATTCAACCATGTTCGCAAGTTCCAGACATAAATATTAGAGGGTACCCAGGATGTTTTTTATTCCAAGAATTATTCCAAGAAAACATCCAACAGAGGCAAGCCAATGATGTTTTCCAGAAAGATAAATAAACGGGATTTGTTTATGTGAAATGATCAATATACAAAAGGCTCTGTATTAAGTACAAAATACTTAACAACCTCACACTCTGAGTTGGGTTACTATATGCGGCCAAGAAATGTATGAGTATTTGAGAGTATGATGCATTATTGAAGTACCGAATTTGAAACAGCAGCAACAGCTCAATAGCGTTGAACTGAACACTCTTTTGTGCAGGAACTGCCACCTATGTGGGTAACAACTCACCTTGATAACTTTAATTTCTTGAAAAATTAATGTTATTGTAAAATGGCGAGGTAAAAGAAAAAATATCTAAGTTCATGGAAATTGCAAAGCTCAACTCCCCATTGTTATTCATCAGTTATGTTGCAGAACATGAAGAAGAAGAGCCCAAATATCTCCTAACAAACTTTACCGTTGTGAAATAATCTCAGCCGTACACGTGGCTTAGAACATAACAAACCAAAACCAACATAAGAAGATAAAATGCATCTTTACAAGTAAAATACGACTAAAGACATAAAGAAAAGAAAGCAGAAAAACAGAGCCGCGTGCATGAAACTCATCACCAAATTCAACACCTTCAACAATTATACTTTGTATTGATTGAAGAACTTAAAAGATATAATAAACCTACTCTGCAATCTTCTTTCAAGCTGGCTGACAAATGCTGGAGATACCGTGGATGAAAGTAGAAGAGTTGCTCCAGAAGGAAGGGCTACAACATCAAGAAAGAGTAAAAGTTAGATTCTCATTTTTCAGTACCAAAGGCTACAACATTATGAAATAGTTCGCCCTGTAAGTACTTAGTACTTAGTTGTCATACAAGCATAACCAAGTGTCATACCTGCCACAGCACCATTATCTCCATATAGAACACTTTCAGCTTGATATTCATTTGCAACCATTATAACAAGAACATCCACGTCTGGAAGTGATGGTATGTTAGCGACGGTTGAATAAATATGGAATCTCCTACTCAAAAAAATGTCAAAGGGAGAGCAAGTTCGTGGACTACCCTCTTAAAACATACGATAATGAGATAAAGCAATTTAAAATAAAAAAATTGATATTTAAGATTTTAAAAATTCAAGGTCCCATGCTTTTAGACTGGCTATGGCAATCTGATGACAAATAACCCCAGAGAACAAATGAAACAACAACATTAGATTAAGTTCTCGTGTCCTTGAATAAAATTGGCAACACAATGCCAGATACTAATTTTATTTATTGTTTCCGTGGGTAAATTTTCTCACTATCCAACTGTTCAACCGAGAACAAGCCATCATATAGAATGTATTACTTTCCCCCTTTAAGTTGTGCAATTACCTTTGGACACGTCAGCAGGACTATTCCCTGCAATTCCACCTTCCTTTTCAAATCTCGATAAGGTAGGCTTATAAACCTACCCACCAAAGATGAGATTATCATGAGATCTGTGTGAATCTTTTGCACTAAAGCATATAAGACAGATCAGAGATGCACATCAGTTAAATCAATTAAGAACGATCAGAAATAATAAATAAAAATATACAGCATAGATATGTAACCTATATTTTCAAAAAGGAAAAGATTAATAAAAGAAAAGAAAAGAAAATCTAGCTGCCGGCATACATCATAACCCAGCACAACAAAATTTGATTTCAGCAGATGTGTTGCCATGCCAAATCCCATTGCTCCTAACCCAATAAATCCTATCCGCTTTACAGTTTTTGAACTGGTAGATAATTGACTAGCCAGCTCCTCTGGGTTGTAGGTTTTTGCATTAGCTGCTTCTAAGATGTTCACCCCAGATAACTTTTCCCAGACCTGTTGCATACATTAGCAGTTGAAGTTGATTTTACTGTTCTGCCTAAAGATAGCATGAAAGAATCTTCACATGATCTATTACTGTTTTACTTTAAGTAACGGCGTGTCGTCATCAACCTTCTCACCATGAGATCCTGTCAGGAAAAAGGAAAAAAAAAAAAAGCAAAAGCCCGTTTCATTAGGAATCATGATAAGTTTTTCTAGACATCTGAAGAACGTGCCTAGACCAACTTTAACATAAGATGTACATAGTATACCTGCAAGGATTTGTTGGTGGGCAACAGTTAAAAGAGGGAGTGGAAATATAAGTGATTTTGCCATCTCCAATACTACTCCCTTGAATTCACATAAAAATTAGTCAGAACTGACAAAGCCAGGGAATTACAGCAGTCAAGCGAAAAAACAAACATGATGATGTTGGAACAGTACAACCATAACTGAGAAAACAACTAAATATTTTTGCTTAAAATGTTAAGAATGTCTTTTTGCCACCGCGTTTAAACTGAAACAATGTTTCATCTAAAAATTCGTCTCCATAATTTGTCTAATGTTGTTTTGCTGTCAGACTTGAATAACAATTAGTATCTGGAATACAAGAACTTTTGCAACACCTAAGGGCTAAGCGCATTACAATTGTTCGATCACAAATAGTTGGGCACTACAATGCATAAACTATCTATTATACATCATGTTCAATATATCAGGTATCTTACCAAGTTTTGATTAAAAGCACCGAGTAGATGATGAGTAGACTGGTTACCCCTTAACAAGTGAGGAATATAGTTTTTGAAGACCCTGCAAAGTATTGAAATGATGGAAAAGACTCTAAACCCATCAGGTATTAAGTTGTTCTATAATTCAAAATTTAATCTCAAATAAAGCAACAAAAAGAGGGAGCATTAAGAATTTAGTCACCATGAGCTTCCAGCTGCATTAGAAATGATATCATAGATTATCCAAGGGTGAATCCCAGCTTGAGCACCTAGAGACATAGCTTCAAGTGAAGCAACAAAGTGAATTCCTTCAAGAAGCTCGATTACCATTTTACTTTTGCTGCAAAAAGTATGAAAAAAAAAATACAAAAAACATAAGCATTAAGTGAAACCAAAACCATGAGCACCATACAATTGCTAGTATCAGCTGCTCTGTCAATCAATCATGCAACCAAAATATGGAGACTGTACTTTCTTATTTCAAGGAATGCACTAGGGCCATCGATCCTTATTGTAATAAAAAGTGTCTTCTTTTCAAACATAAAACAATTTTTGTTTTGAAAGGGGAAAGATGTGAGATGGGTCGAGAAAACATACCTGCCTGCTCCTATTTCACTCTCAAATAAGACAAGCTTGTTACTCATAGCTGCTCACAGAACAAAATTAGGTCTTAAAGTGTGATGACTATTCAAAAATACAATTTCCAAAATAACAATGACCAGAAAATGCTAAAAGAAACCAGAAAGCTAAAAGGGAAATATGAACCAGAAAGAAATGGCTGTGCCCTAGACAGGGACTCCAGTTGTCCAGAAGAAATAATCTGAAGGTCAATGACATACAAAGGAAAAAGGCACTTAGCATATCAAGCATGGATGAGGAGAAGAATTAACAATAAAACAATTCAATTTCCTATCGTTTTACCATGAGTTTTTCAATTGAAGATTCAGACAGTGCCTGTAAGACGTACATGTCAATAATTTCCATCTGATAATCCCCTGCAAGTGCAAAATGCAAAAATATGTGATAAGCAAAAAACAATAAGACCTATACAACAAAAGAAAAGATACACTCCCTCCAGTTGTTTGTTCAATTCCTGATTCAGGTATTGGGTTTAACGAAACAATTCACTTGTGTGCAATGTGAACTAATAAAAGGATGACCCTATATCATATGATATAAATTGCTCAAGCAGGAATATATATAAGCGAGGAAAATAGAATTGAAACAAATAAACTTGGCATTGTTAAGCGAGGAATATATATAAGAAACAAAACACGTGTCCAATGTCCATCATTTCAGTGACATAATTAAGTTTAACTATAGTGAAAGAAAAGGTAGGAAGGCACAAAACGAATGGACAAATAAAGGAAATTCCATGACAAGCATGAAAATGGTGGGATCATAGTAGTGGTGAACATAACTATTCACAGCTACACATCTCATTCTTTGAAGAAAAAGCACCTGCAAACACAACCATTTGCTTTGACGATAGTACATGATTTTAAAATAACTGTAAAAAAAATTGTGGATGGTTAAGCCTTACCAAACAATAATTAAATCCAAATGATAGACCAAGTTGAAAATACAGAGGTACAATTATATGTAACTGTTTTGAAGACACAGGCAGTAAGCTGCAGAAGACAATGCAACATGTCGAATGACAGAACTTCACTGTTGAGAACATTAACTAGAAGGAAAATCTCTACCTGTAATAATTTTCTCCATCTTCTGGATGTGTGCGGGGAGTATGGTTGAATGGACAATAATAATTACATCTTTCCGCAATCCTAGAAATTCAAACAGGTACAACTTTAATGCTGAAAGACAATAAGGCGATAATAATGAAGGATCTCAAACCAGCTTGAAAGCTCGAGATAACCTTTTAGAACCCCCTCGACGCCGAAAAACATATCTTCTATTTGATCAGCATGAGATACTAATGTGACCAAAGCATGAACACCTGCAACCAGCAACACAAAATAAAATCTCAAGGTCGATAAATTACATAAAAAAAATCCCAAAAAATAAAAATAAAAGTCAAAATAATCTCAAGATAATGTGAGAGATTTGCTTTTCGTTTTCTCTTTCCACAGCTCGGAAGTATTGGTTTCAATAATCAAATCACACTTAATTTCGATGGAAATGTGGCTTTTCCACAAGTTATAAATTTCTCTTTGCATTGTCCACGAGGATCAAGTTGATCGATGCAAATGTTTACCAATGGTTCTTCACAGGTATATCACACAAATATATATATACACATTATATACTGGCAATTTCTTCTTCACCTCTAATTTACTTTAGTTATTGTGCTTGTTTCTTTCAGTTTCATTTACTGCAACATTGTTAGAGTCAAGTTTCCCTGTTGTCATTCGAAGACCAATTTCAAGTATACTGTTATATCTACGTCATTACCATCAGCAAGAAATCCAGGAATAAATGAACCAAAGAAGAATCTTAAGGACAACGCAAAACACACTTTTCAATATCTTCTACTTCAAAATCGTATCAGCTGCCAAAGCAAATTAATGCTACATGGTGGTTCTTCCTTAAATATATACATTACCAGAGGAACTGGAAAATCATAAATACGATGTAAACCTTCCCCTGTCTCCATCAGATTTGCACATCTTTTACCCCCTAGTTCTGCAAAGTCATCCATCAACCGACCGGATGTCTGCAACAATGATTTCAAGAACAAATTAGAATAAGAACTTGGGTTAGCTTCTAGATTAGTTAACTTCGTTAAACGAATGCAACAATATTAGAAACACCTCAGATAGAGGCATATTGTCTTCTTCTTGATATCATAATTTATGATTTCTCTAAAAAAAAACAAGGATTTTATGAAATTTAAATTTATCTGGATATCGTGTCTCAGAGATTATTTGATATTCTACCATGAGTTTATAATAATACTTGTAACCAGGCAAATGCTTATGTCCTTCTAAGTGTATGTGGGTGGTCAGCTCTCTTATCAGACATGGTGCTTTACGTATTCGATAGGTCATGCTTTATTCAAGATGAGAAGCCATTGTTGGCCATGATTTCAAGAAGAATTTGCGTGGTGTTGTTTCAATTGCAGTTCTCTTAGTCAGTCCAGTAACTACCGGTGCAAGTGACTTATATTGAGTGTTCCAATGAGATAGTACTATAAATACTGATGAATACCAACATCAGTGTATAAATTTTACTTTCTTGTATAATTACGTAAGATATTTACTTATTTTCATAGATGTATAGATAGATAATAGTAAATTCTTTTCCAAGTTTATTCATGAACATATGATAGTATACATTAGATACTAGCGACAAATATGTAATTGAATTTATACTCATTGAATCAAGAAAGCAATCATCAGCTAAAGTAACTAATTTACTGGTGAGATATACTACGTGATGTACCAGACGCAATTTCTTAGTACCAAAACCTGCAGGTGTCTTAATCTATGAGTACGAGTGAATTGATTTTTAGAACAATGCATGTTAGAACAAGCAACTAGTGGACTGACACCCTGGTGGCAGCCTATCCCTAGCCCGATACTCAGAAAATGACGGCAGCTTAGACTCAACACTCAATATTCAGACTATCTTACCGGTTAAGATCCATCTATACCACCACCGATCACTATATCATTGATCAATTAGATTCTCTCTAGAATCAGAAATGTAGTGATTCACCTAGGCTCCACCCAGAACCCGAAACATCCGGCTTACATGAGCTCACCAAATTAACTAATGCAACTTCATTTTGTCAGCTAATTTGGTTAGCCATAACAGATAATGACTCCACCATCAATTCATTCAAACATAGTAAAGACGAAAGCCAAACAGTAAATAAAAATCCTAAACAAAAAAAAGTCGAAAATGCCGGTAGCTTACAGCAATACAGCCCACACTCATTATTCAGAACTATCTTATCAGTTACGATCCATCTATAACACCACGAATCACTATAACATCAATAGATAAATTCTCTCCAGATTCAGAAATGAAGTGGTTCAAGTAGACACTATATGAGAAGCACAAAACGAGCTGATGCATATTCATCTTTTCAGCTCATTTGACCAACCATAACAGATAATGACTCCACCATTTCAAGTCATTCAAACACATTACAGGCATCAGAATACAGCAAAAAGGGCTCATGATTCCTCAAAAGTAAACGAACAATTGAAAAAAATAAAACAAAAAATCGGGCGAACCTCAAATGCCTGAACCCCATAGCCGGAGCGCAGAAGAGAAGCAGCCAGCTGCAAGGAGACCTCGTCCAATCCGACGAAGCCGACCACTGCCCTTTCCCTCATTTTTCTCGCCAAATAAGTCTCCGAGCAATCAAAAGTCCGATTTGAAGTGTGTATCAGCTTTGAGCCGAGAAAGAACACTTCAAACACAGTTTGGATTTCGAGTGCACGGTGACACCTGACAGCTGGTTTATGATCCGTTCACGTAATCTGATTAGTTGCTGACGTGGAATTGACATGGTTGCCATTGTATATAAATCCCCGTGCGAATCCGAATCCGAATCCGATGTTGCGAATCCGTTGTTGTCAAAATACCTTGATGTTTCTCCGTATAGAATAGGTAAAACTATCAGTTAAACTATCAGTTCAATGATTCACTGGTCGGACCAGTGATTGAACCAATCGAACCGATTTTAATATATAATTTTTATTTCCTTTATATATATAATATATAATTACATATATTATTATTATTAATTTTATAGTATACAATGATAAAAAAATCTTACATATTTTAATGATTTTAACTACTATGCCTAATTAAGTGTAGGCAAATAAGTTATGACCAATGTGTTTTATTATTGCGTAGGTTTATAATTTATAAGCGTGGTAGATAAGTCTACACTTAGAATATCAAAATATTATAATGCAGATTAATCATTTAAGAAGAAAAAAAATAAAAAAATAAAAAAGAACTACAATAAACAAAAACCCATCACGCTTGTACAATAAAGAGAACATTAGGTAATTAATTAGATTCCAATTTATGACTATTGGTTAACATATAATAATAGATAGACCAATAAGCCCAATAGTTTGATTAATTTCAATTTATTAGCCCGTCAAATAGGGACCGCAGGAGAGCAAATTAGCTAAAATGCAATAGCATTCATGCGGAAAATTTTATAACTGCCCCTTTTAAAGACTAATATTACCCATACACAATACCAAATATACTCTAAAATTGAACAAATTTAGGTAAACACGAAAAATTAAAAGAATTAATTCAAAAAATTAAACTAATAACCAACTACTCTCTCTCATCTTGTTTTTCTTTCCCTATTTTTCTTCTTTCTTTCTCCTACTTCTCTCTTGACGTTCTGCATCTTCTTCCCTTTTTTCGTCTCTCTTCTTCCATTTTCTTCTTCTTCTTCAAATTTAATACCTAAGAATAATAATAATTATTATTATTATTATTATTATTATTATTAAATAATAATAATAATAATAATAATTATTATTATTAATAAATAATAATAATAATAATCAAATTGGTTATATACATACATAAAATTAGATTACAAAAAACCAACATAAATATTTGTTAAGTTGAATTAACAAAAAACAACAACAACAACAAAAATAATAAAAATAGAATACATACAGACAAAATTATAGTCATGCAAGAAATCAAGTGAAACAAAAAACTGGAAAAAAAATCTTCCAGGTAACAACAAAACAACAACAAAACAGTAACAAAACATTTGTTGAGCAACATAAAAACAACAGTTAATGCATAACAATTCAGAATAAAACCCCCTTTGAAAATATTTATAAAATGCTATTTTCAACTCACAATATTTTTCAAATTATAATGCATACAATAAAGATAATTTGATAGAAACAAAAGTTGCACTGATTACATTCATCCTTCGATTCATTCAAGTTTTCAAATTCCAAAACAAGAGATAGAGACGAAATCGACCTTAAATACACATAAAAGTACGCACCACGTGATTCTCAGTCGTGGACTGCGGCTCCGGCTTCGACTTGCGCGGGTGAAGGCTGAAAAATCCCAAGACGACTGAGTGCCTTCGGCAGGTGAGGCTGATTCATTTCGGACACGGAGGCTCAAATTCAAGTCCAGACTCTTGCCATAGAATGACAATCAATTTCCACACAAATCCAAAATAAAATCCAGAAAAGTCAATACTCGAAAAAAGATGCATCCAAAGAAATCACAACGAGGGTAATGATAAGTTTGATGTTCTTGTGAGGAGAGGAGGCTGCGAATTCGAAAAATCGGCCATTTCCCACTGCCCTTTTTTGTCATTTTTTCGATTATTGTACAATTGTACAATTTTTTGTGGGCCGCTGCTATGGGCATGAATACTTTGTTTAAAGCATTGTAAGAATTAAAAAAAAAGAAAGAAAAAAGAAAAAAGGAAGAAGGTAAGAAAGAAAAAAATAGGAAGAAAGGATAAATAAAAGGATAAAAAGTAAAGAAGAAGAGGCGTGCCGGTTTGCTTATCAAAAGACGTGTCTACTAACAAAATCATAAATAATAAACAAATAAAATTGTCAAAATTTTAAAACTGTCAAAAAGAGTAAAAAAGGAAACAAAACAGGTCATTTTGACTAAATAATATACTGGTGCTTTAATGTAAAAAATATTTTGAAAGAGTTAAGGAGCGTCATTAATTCCATTTCATGACCAATAAGGCCCAACAGTTTTTGCAAGCAAAAAACATGTAAATCTCATCGAGAACAATAAGCAAAAATTTATGTGTCCGATCTGATGTTCAGAACATTGGTATCCTCATGGCTTGTGGATGAGATTAGATAATTATTATCTTATTATGTGTCAAAATTGTACTGTTGAAATCATACAAACATTTATGTTTGTTATAAGGATTAGTTCAAGATAGGATTTGTTAATTTTTGTGTTATACATTTGTTTTCTTAGATAAGATATAAAGTTACATGAATGAATTTACAATATATCCCTAATTTAAAACAATTAATAAAATAAAGTCCATCATAATTATTATTACTGTTTATGCTTCCTATGTTCGCAATATTCTCTCCTCTCGATTGCCCCTGTTTTTAAACTTTATCTTTTTTCATCATCTTCTTGTTGGTTGCATGTTCGAGAGCTTTCTTTTTTTTTTTTTTTNNNTTTGCATGGTTCGCTTATTCCAACAACTAACAAGTTTTCTCCTTTTTTTAATTATTACTATATGTTATATGAAAACCAACTTTATAAAAAACACACAAAACATTTCAAATGGAATACAATGAGTAAAAATACCTAAGTTTTTATCAAAAAATGTGTAAAATCGCCTAAAATTTTCTAAACTATGTGTAGAAACATATCTAAAAATTTATACATTTACAAATCAAAAGTCTTTCAAAGACGCCTCACGCTAAATTACTAAATTTATTTAAATATTACCTCGTATTATTTAACTTTAGTTTAAATTGTAAATATTATTTCGTATTATTTGAATTTAAATAGTTAATCTTTCAACTTTATAGTATCCTAAATTTTTCTATAGTCAAAATAATAATGTCAAAACATTAATTGACATAATTTTTTTTT